CGGTTATATAGCGTTACGACCATGATTTTGGACTCCATGATCAGTTATATGGATTGCAATTTGCAAAAACGAACCAGGAGTGTTGAATCAAATAACAACATTGAAATTCACTAGGAATAAATTGGATTATTATTTATGATCATCACATGTCGACAGTGTAGAACAGAATGAAAACTGAAATATATTCATCTAACCTAGAAGTCTTAGTATCAGCTATTTTGACTTGACAAGGAGCATTCCATTGTCGCTAAGATTGTGCAACTTTTTTTACCTTGCAAATAGAAACTGAAAAACCGAACAAGTTTTATCTTTACTCCCACTAAACTATGTATTCAATTCAAAAATTACTTTTGTAAATTGAATTTTTTGCATGACTTCAGTAATTATTTGCGAAGAGTGTAAGCTGCACAATCCTAGCAACATCGGAATGCTCTTGGTTCCTTTTTGCAAAATGTAATCCGTGTATTGATCGTCTGCTCATCAATTACAAGATCCCGGACTCCGTGCTCAATTTAATGAGAAAAAATTGTTTCGATTAATCAATGTGAGCATGAGCATAACGTCCAAAATCGAGGGATGCGATATTCTCTGACATGAGACGTAGGGACCAAAAGTTTACAAAGACAATTTGTGTGAAATTAAGACGAAAAAAAAATTGTTCTCATAGAAAATGTTGCATTAGTTACGTTAGGTTAGGTTATTAGACGAGAAAAGTATACGATTTTATATTATGATGGAGAATGAATCTACATTATAGCTAACAGAAGTCCCCTTGCTATTGGAATCTATGCTCTAGCGAGAGGCGAAAAGCACAGCAATTATGATGGAGGCCAAGATCATGGGACGTGATGAGAAGGCAAGTATAACAAGGAAGAGCATGGAGTCCAATATCTCGGACGCGATGCTACATAATCTTTTCAGCTTTCTCAGGATAGCCCTTCGATCCCAAATTTGGGCATTTGGACAACAACTCTAAAAATTTCTAGACGTGATGATCACGTCTTTCGTTCAGCAGAAATACATACAATTAATTAGACCGCGTTTGGCAAAAAGGAGCCAAACCACATCAGCTATTGTCAAATTTGGCCGTCCAATTCAATTTTTTGCATCGAGAACAATTGTAAGGATTTTGTTCTAACCTCAGTGATTTTTCTTCACAGTGCGAAGCGAATTCCTTAAAATTTTCAAAGGAGTCCACACAAAATTTCTCTTGTAAAAAATTAAAATGCCCAATTAAATTAGGCAATAGCTGATGTGCCTTGGTACCCTTCTGCTTAACTCGGTCCAACTGGACACACAACGTAATAGTGCTCATATACTAAGATGTTGGGTTCAAATAGACCGAGCAACTATTCGCGCATCCAGGTCGAGAAATTGCCTATACGTCTATTTGAAGGCGTTTTGTAAAGCGGGGCTTTTTCTTCGCACATTAGCGTTAATCTCCTGTTTGATTCTATTGGTAGCTCATCAAGCTTCATATTACGCAGGCAATTGATCAAATCAGGCGTTTTATACAATTCCTAGGCAGATAGTCAAATTTTGTCCGTTTACGAAATTTTGTATATTTATGGCGAAAAGCTCACGAGTTTTCAATTTTTCGGAAAATTTAACTCTTCAAATCTGCGAACTCTTTTTGTTTCTTCAGATGCTTTTCATATACAATTTAAATATTAAATTTTAAAAATTCTGTATTTTTTGACATGCTGAAAATTTCGAGATGAGTGTTGGTTCAGGAGCTAAATATCGTTTAAAATATTACCGTATGATGCTTATTCTCACAGAAAATTCTCTCTTACAGGGTGGACAACGAATTATTTTGTGTAAAATTAGGAAAATAATAAGAATATGCATTTAAGTAAGTACCAATAGAGATGGAGTTAAAACATGGGTAAACAAGGCTAAAACATTAAAGAAACACTGAGTGGTAGGACGTTCCGAGGTGTTACCAGCTCATTTTTAGTTGAAAAAACACTATATACAAATGCAGTCCATTTTGCAATTTGGAACTATAATTTCTACACTGAAAAAAAACTCCGGCCGTGGGAGCCGCAATTACGGGCTATATAGACATACCGTCCATTCCGGGCTCAAAGGCCGAAAATTCTGGCTGCTGGAGCCAATAAACCCAATAAGGCCTCTAAACCCGGAGCAATCGAAGCTACGCCTCTAGCAGCCGGAATTTTCAGCCTTTGAGCCCGGAACGGACGGTATGTCTATATAGCCCGTAATTGCGGCTCCTACGGCCGGAGTTTTTTTTTCAGTGTAGCTTGGTTTAAAAACAACGTACTTATCATCAGTTTCCCTGTGCACGTAAGTGTTTTCACAGATAAGTCAGAAATTATGGTTCCGAATTGCAAAATGAAGTGCAAATATGACTCCATGCCGTTCTCACAAAACCACTGAAACGAAAACGTCCAAACGTCCTGCCTTTTAGTGTCTTTTGATGTTTTAGCCTTGTTCACCCTTATTTTGGCGTCTTTCTGCCAAATGAAACCAGAGACCCAACAAGGGGTGTGCTCGTTAGTCGAAGATCGTAAGAATGAATGGGAATTATAAAGCGCCAGTGACGTCAGCTACGACAAAGCCACCGCTGCGACTTCCGCTTGGGAGTCATTAACTCATGAACCTTGTCCAAAACGCCTTTATCACATGCCCATGGCTCACAAGTGCCGCATTCAGTTGGCACTTAGCTCCGTTTGATAGAATGTAAAATCACGCTTTTCATTTTTCCAAAGGGGCTCACACCCTTTTTAACATTGCTTCTTATGCAGCTTTCTAGAGCACACTCCATCTTTCCCTAGTTCCCATAGTTCTGTTTGGTAGATATACGTCCATTTCAAATCCCTCCCCACAGGGACGGACTGGCTCGCATCTGAGAGCGTAGACCCTTGGCTGGTTAAAGGGGCGTAATGTGATTTTTCCTGGTAGGGCATCTCCTACGTGGCGAGGGGTTCAGAAAATTTTGGCAAAGTAGCACAAGTTTACGCTATTCTCAGGTTCAATCGTACAGAGTAAGAATTGCAAAATTGAACGTATTGAAGTAATCGACAGACTTCTGAAATTAAAGTAAACGTAAAAAATGAACGCCACTAGACGCATCCAAGCACCATTACTTCCAAAAGAACCGAGCCGGTGCTACGGTTTACACGAGCTTAAGACGTGGGTTTGCAAATCCATCCTAAAAAAAATCAGACAAGAACCTGAAAAAAGAAGAAAGAATGATTATCAACACAGACGAAGACAGGAAAGACGTATTCAGGCCTCTTTTTTAACATATCTCCCAAATCTGAACGAAACCTCATTGTCAGCGACAGCACATAGCGGAGCATTGAGAGCTCTCGCTTCGCGTCATCGCGCCTTCAATTTTTCAGATGCAGCACGGACGTTCATCGAGTACGAATAGTTGTGTCTCTGCGCCGTCGTAAACGCACATCCTTTCCCTCCCTCTACTTATTCCGTATTGTGTTTGTTTCTGTTTGTTTCTGTTTGTCTTATTCGTAATGGTACTTCAGACTAGTAGCAGAGCAGAGCATTGCTTCTGAAAAAAGAAGAAAGAACGAGTACAGTGGACTCTCTATAATTCGAACCTCGATAATTCGAAAACCTCGTTAATTCGAAGGAAAGTCTGTTTCCCTCGAAAGTCTCTCGACGATTCGAAGAAAATCAATGTATTTTTCTCCCCTCGTTATTTCGAAATTTTTAAGCTGGCGCGGCCCTCTATAATTCGAAATTGCGACGAAAATTCTCTCTGCAATTCGAAGTGTGGGAAGTAAATAAGGTCCTCCCTCTATAATTCAAAATGAGACGGTACATTTCCTCTACAATTCGAAGTCAACTATTTATGTACCTGGGTGTCTGAGAGAGCTGATAGGATTGTCAACATATAAACTACTAGGGGGCTACGCCCCCTGGCCGCTACGCGGCCCAACCCCCTGAAGGCGCTCCGCGCCATCAATGGGCCGCGACGCGGCCCTATTTTTACCCTCCCATCAGTGTTAGTTTTATTTTTACCCTAAAAAATTACGATATGAGGTATATACTTTAATTTTAAACTTTACGTAAAATTACTTTAAAATTAAAAGGACGCGTTTTGGAATGACTGCTTGATGAAATATTGCAGTAAAACAATGAACAATGGTAGAGTCAAGCAATAATTTAGAATTCATTAGTCGGGGATCGAACCCACACCGAGATCACAGTGAACGCATTGGACGTCTTAGACGACCCAGCCACCTCTCGACTTGAAGTCCCAGGTGTGAATCTTGTGAAGATAAGTGTAGAGCTGATGCGCAGGCTACACAACTACTGCGCAACCTCCTCGACCACTGCGCATCCTCCCGCGCATAGCGGTAGCAGTACCGGAGCATTCTGTAAACTCACTCACTTTTATAACGTGATTTTAAAAAAACCTGGGTCCTTTTTCCAAAATCTGATTAAAGCGGGCTCATTTAGGGCCTATTACCTGTCGATTTACGCAAAAATCATGGAAATCGGCCCGGTAGAACGCTCAAACGAACTATATGACAAAAAATATAAATTTACATTGTTTAAATGGGAGAATTCGCAACTTTACCACGTAATATAAAAAAACCTGGGCCATATTTTGAAAATCTGAAAAGAGTTGGCTTATCTAGAGACAATTGTCCGTCGCTAGCCGCAAAAATCATGAAAATCGGCCCGGTAGAACGCTGGAACTAAGCGTTACCAGTTTCGCAAAATTAGGAGGTCTCGGAGCTTATAGTATAGACAAGTTTCGTGAGTCTCCCCGCGAAAAGCTTGATTAGCCGATCAATTTCTCCGCGAAAAGCTTGATCAGCTGATCAATTTCTCCGCATTGAATCTCTTTTATTCGAACTCTCTTTATTTCGAAACCTCACTAATTCGAATAAAAAGTCGATTCCCTTCAATTTCGAATTATAAAGAGTCCACTGTATAAAAAAATACCCGGTTTTCCTGTTTGCCTGCGACAGACTTAAGAATCCGAACTTGCGTTGTTTCAGGTGGTCGCAGGGCCTGCTGTTTCACCAGGCAATGGTTGACTGCGCGCGGGCGGCGATCCTGATCCCTCTCGGTCTGAGCATCCTCCGCTGCGAGCCGATGCGGAAGTGCTCCCTCGTGGAGACGGCCTTCCTCCTCCTGGTCACCGTCTCAACGGTGAACATGCTCACGACGGTGCTCAACGACAGCCCGGTCTTCCCGGAGGCTGACAGCGGGGGTGGGACGGGGGCGGGCGAGGATCCCGACTCTGATTGGGCCATGGGCAGCGGCCCCATCCTCATGGACTCCCCGCAGTGCGTTTTCTTCGGGGCATTCATGATCTGGTTTGCCAGTATCACTATTAATCTTGGACCCACCTTCCTCAGCGGGGCCCTCGCCGCTAATACTGATGGCGGGCACAATAGTCCCTCCTGCCCACTCGTCCACGGACCCTTCAGGTAATGCCAACTTGCCTCCTACGCCCTGCTAAGCTTCCGCACTGGAAAAAAAAAAAAAAAAAAAAAAAAAAAAAAAAAAAAAAAAACACATTGGATCTAGAGTCCAGACTCTTGAAAACATTGACAAGAAAAATACTCTTGATTCAATCAGATTTTTGCTTATATTAAAAGGAAATCCGCTCAAATTAAGAGGCTTGGCTCTTCATTTAAGCAAAAATCCGATTGAATCAAGAGTATTTTTTCTTGTCAATGTTTTCAAGAGTCTGGACTCTAGATCAAATGTGTTTTTTTTCCAGTGAGGAAAAACGCCGTATGAACATTCGAGCGTTGCCAAATTTCCTTCGATAAAATGTTCGTTTTTGCGGGACGTTATGAATATTTTTCCTTGAGATTTTCTGGAACTTCAAGTGAAATTGCGAGAAAAATTATCTTAAAAATTGGAGGGAAAATATTCGCATGTTTACCAGGGAATTCGCGTTTTATCGAAGGAAATTTGGCAACGCCTGAAGGTTCATACGGCGTTTTTCCTCAGCACGGCAGCAAGGAAGAATGCCGTATAGGTATTTTTATGTTGCCGAATCCACTCTCGGGAAATATTTATTTTTGAAGAAAGTTATGCATTGTTTCACGACATTTTCGTATGTTTTAGATCAAATTCCGAACAAAACTCTCTGGAAAATCGGAAGAAATCTCATTAATATTCCCGAAATGGGCCTGTTGCAAACTTTTGCTAGAGCAAAAATAAGAGTTGTTACTTGTAGATAAGGTCTCGAAAATCACGATGAACGCATTGGCAAACTCTAAAATGCACTCCCAACTTTACAATCTGCGTAAGAAATTTGCGTTTTTTTTTGAGCTTCCCTTTTCAAAACGGATACTACGGCACAGGTGAACATTTCTTTAGAGGAGTCGTTCCATTCAATCCATTCAATCTTCCTGAGATTTCCTGGTATTCCCTGGAGTACCTGCACAGCGAGAGTATGGACAGCTCACTTCATGGAGAGCTTAGGGCCCAAAAGTGAGTGCAGCCATCCTTCTAAACAACTTCTAACACATACAATTTCATTCCCAGTCTGCAGAGTCTGCAGATTCCAATTCTAACCAAGATGGCCGAAAAGGTACAGAAATGAGCGTTCTTTCGCAAAAATGAGTAAATTTATACAAAAACTGAGTCAAATACGTGCTCTATAAACGACGGTTTGTGACAACAATATTAGTAAATCGTTCTGGATAATTGAAATTCATAGGTTGGCCGCATTTCTGGGCCGTATAGCTTCATTCGCAAAAACATCGGTGAAGGCCTAATGGATTTTCGGAGTTTCACATCTGTCCATACTCTCGCTATACAGGTGCTCTAGTATTCCCTGATGCCGCAATCACACGCTGAATTTAGCAGCTGAATGTGGAAGTCAACAGTCATCGCCCAACGGCGGAATTTTAGCAAATTCGAGTTATTTTCATCCAGATGTGCATCAAATCTACTCGAATAGCTCACAGACAAATTCAACATTAGCCCGATGGTTGCTGAGAATCGTTGCTGAATTTTGCGCGTCACGCGCAAAATTCAGGCATCGGGCCGATGACTTCCACATTCAAGCCAATTTCAGCTCCCACATTCAGCGTGTGATTGCGCCGTAACTGTGAGGACCGTGAATTTTTGGAAGTTGGCACGTGTGGAGGGACGCATTGGTGTGTTAATTTGTTGGGGGTAATGTTGGCAGGCACTACGTGCTGAACGTGCTGTGGATCCTGATCAACCTGATCTGCGTGATGCTGACCTTGTTCCACCTGCACAAGCTCCACCGGGACCTGACCAAGGCCAACTGCGAGGCGGTCCGCGTCGCTGGGCTACTCACCACCCTCGTCAGTGTCACCGGGGGTGGCGGCGGTGGCTTCCGCGGACCCCACCACCCGCCCGGGACAAATTCCAACGGCACCGCTAGGGTAAGTCCTCCCTTCCTCATTCATTTGCACACTGCGCTCCCTATCTAGGAAAAACGCTGCATCAATCATTTCTGAGTTTCCAGATTCCCTCCTGATTTGACGTATTTCTGCCAAACGGAGCTATATGCATTATACACCGAAAAAAAGTGAAGTTGATTTAACATTCTGGACGGGAAAAAAGCGCGTGAGAACTGATAAAATGCTGAATTACCCGCCACAGCAGTTAGTTTTACATCTTGGCACTGCTAAACTAACTGCTGTAGCCGGTAATTCAGCGTTTTATACCTGTCGCACACTTTTTTTACATCCAGAATGTTAAATTAACTTCACTTTATTTTCGGTGTATCGTGAGCCCTGTTATGCGTACACTGGGGAAAAAATACATTGGATCTAGAGTCCAGACTCTTAAAAACATTGACAAGAAAAAGTACTCTTGATTCAATCAGAATCTAGCTTAAATCAAGAACCAAGCCTCTTAATTTAAGCGGATTTCGTTTTGATCCAAGCAAAAATCCGATTGGATCAAGAGTATTTGTTCTTGTCAATATTTTCAAGAGTATACACTCTAGATCCAATATGTTTTTTTTTTTCCCAGTGTATATTCTTATGGGTCCCAGGGCTCATATCTTAATGCGCATAGTTCTGTTTGGTAGAAATACGTCCAATTAGAGAAAAATGCATTCCTGATTTAACCTCGAACTTTAAACTCGGATTTTCAGTCACTTTTTTGAAATTCGTAAATCCAAGATGGCAGATGTGGCCTAAAATGCTATATCGGCTCCTATTGCATCGATTTTCGTAAAACTTGATTTTAGGGGGTATTTTTCGGCGAGAAACTCGAATTTTTGGTCACTTTTTCAAAATTCGCTAATGCAAGATGGCGGATGTGGCAAATCGTTTGAAATTTGTTTTTGCTGAATTTAAAGTGGTTGCAACCGAAAAACACATGTTCCGGCGTATCCTCGATAGACAGGCATACTACCGTGCTAAGGAAGAACGCCGTATGAACCTTCAGGCGTTGCCAAATTTCTTTTGATAAAACGCGACTTTCGCGGTAAAATTATGAATATTTTTCCTCCAATTGTTCGGATAGTTTTTTTCTCGATTTCAACCTTGGTCTCCAAAAATTTCCGGGAAAAATATTCATAAATTCCCCCAAAAATATACATTTTAGTGCGGAGGAAACTTGGCAACTCTCAAATATTTATACGGCGTTTTCCCTTAGCACAGCAGCATAGGGAACAGATTGGGGAGGGTGCGATTTTCAATCGGAAAAGAAACGCACGGGGAAAAAAAACACATTGGATCTAGAGTCCAGACTCTTAAAAACATCGACAAGAAAAAGTAATCTTCATTCAATCAGAGTCTAGCTTAAATAAAGAACCAAGCCCCTTAATTTAAGCGGATTTCGTTTTGATTCAACCAAAAATCCAATTGAATCAAGAGTATTTTTTCTTGTCAATGTTTTCCAGAATCTGGACTCTAGATCCAATGTGTTTTTTTTTTTTTTTCCAGTGCGCGTTGAAGCAACCGTGTCCTGACAGAAATCGAGAGACGTAAAAGACGGGTTCTCCGTAAGTTCTCTCCATCCATGGTCGGAGGCTAGGAAGTAGTGTATGGAGCCATTTGGAGGAAAAACTGCGGTTTAAAAATCACTATGTATAGGACCCTAAGTGACGTAATTGGATACAAAAAAAGTCCGATTCAGCGCGAGGGACGAAAAAAATAACGACCGCTCAAAAATGGGCTAGCTCGTAAGTTGGGGTATACTTTTCGCGCGAGTGCTCATAAGTAGCTCCATCCTTGAGGAAATGACCAAACTAACGGAAACATCGATGCCAAGTCGCATGATAGCAAGGCGCGTGATCTCAGATCCTCCTTAACGGGGTCAAGAGGTCAAGAGAAGCGTGACTCGTCTGACTGAGGGATTTGGCTAATCTCCCACCGTCGCCGAATCTTTATCACAAAGAGATTCTTAATCTCTACGCTGCACATTGTTATGAGATAAAGAGCACGCTTCTGGAAATGTCCCCCGGAAGATATGAAACCACTCCGCTTCTGCGTCTGTGTGTGGCTTGCAGCATTCGAGGCGCACAACGGACCGAGTCAATAGGAGAGGTCGGACGAAATTTGGAAACTTTAAACGCTCATAACTCCGTCCATACAAGACTTTGAGATTCTAAAGTGGTTCCATTGGTTTTCTCGTAAAATTTTCTTCCAAATGCACCTGTCGAAGTCTAAACTGTGACGAGATAAACATTAAAATTTGCAGTTTTAGTAAAAAAATTGTGTCCGACCTCTCTAGTTGACTCGATCCACTGTGAGGCATCGAAATGGGAGGCGCGTAAACTTTTGCTCGGACTGGAAGAGCTGTTCTGCCGTGCTAAGGAAGAACACCGTATGAACATTCGAGAGTTGCCGACTTTTGCTCGATAAAACATGTATTTTTGACAACATTAATGCATATTTTCCCTTGAAATTTTCAGTCATTTTAGATTAAATGGCGGAAAAAAATATCTGCAAATTTTGGAAAATAATACCTATTCAAAATTTTCCCATGCAGTAATTTCGGTTTTTATTGGCAGAAACTTGGCAACGTCTGAAGGCTCATACGGCGTTCTTCCTTAGCACGGCAGTGTTTGATGCATTCAAGCGAAAGTGATTCGAACACATCGGGAAAGAAAGCCAACTCATTTGTGAAAGGGATGGATTTGAATTTAGGATTGCAGTTTTGAGGCCGGATTTAGAGAAATTGAATATTAAATCACTGCCCTAATCGCAAATGTACGATGTCCATTAATTTTTTCAGAATTGCATCAGGTTGGTGCACTCTATACTACTTATCAGCAAAGTTTTCTTCTTCCGTAAAATTTTTACTATATTTGTAGGACTTTTTAATCAAATTATTTTACATTTGAAATGTCTCCGGTCAACTTTCGTCTGCAACTTACAGTGGATTGTCAAATGAAAATTCTGAAAAATTGTATTGGACGTAGGACGCTTTCACTGAAGCCGCTTAGTCAAATTACTAAGCTGCACAGATTTACATTTGGACGTATTTCTGTCAAACAGAACTGTGTGCATTACGACATCGAGCTCTGTTATTCATACATTCTTACGGGTCTCAGTGCTCATTTATTAATGAACATAGTTCCGTTTGGCAAAAATACGTCCATTTCACGTTTGAATTTTAAATTATCCACCTTGATATCATAATAATTATTTTTTTTTTACTTTTCGGCCCAAAATCTTTCGCAAATTTATACAAGAATTTATACAAACAGGAAGATCCTTATTTGGACCACATTTTGCCATTAGGAACCATAATTTCTAACTCAGTTTAGGAACAACGTATGTACCATTAGCTTTCCTATGCACAAAAGTGTTTTCACGAATGAGCCAGAAATCATAGTTCCGAATTACAAAATGTAGTCCATTTGTTAATATTTATCATGCTAGTACGAACAATGAATAAACGGTTAAAAAAAATCAAAAAAAAAAAAAAAAATATCAAATATCAATGAATATTGGCTGTAGTATGTGCAAGTATGTGTGCAACCGCAATAGAGCAATTTCATTTTATTCTGGTAGCCCATAAATCTCAGAATTTTCTCAAAATAATGGAACATTTTGAGAGACCCGGTGATAATACCCTAAATGCGTGCGTCTTCAATGGGTAGCTGTCGATGGAAATTCCATAATAGACTCAATGTAGGTGCGCGGTAGCGTAAAACCGGAGTGAAGAGGCTCTGTCCATCTCTTGGGCGACGGCGATGAGAATGCAATTAGGGATCGGGGATCGAGGGGGAGGGCATAATCAGGACATTTCGCGGCAATTTACGAGCGTCATGAATACCCGAGACCCGCAGAGCTCAAACGGGATAAAATCCTATCCCGGGCCCATAGAGTCATAGACCCGCTTTATTATGTCCTCGCCGCCACGATGCGACTAAACTTTACGACGGGAAATATCGCTCTTGGGGCCTCACCCCCCGCCCTAACCCCCAAAAGGGGGGGCTTTATGCGGCTCAAATGAGACGGATTAGAGCCGAGTGCCCTCCACAATATGCCCCCAACAATAACTCATTGTCGGGCGGGATGGGATCCCCCCCCCCTACGGCTCAACAGGAGGGCGCCGCGAAAAATTTACCCAACGGAACTGACATCGTGAACGGACCGCGAAATTTACGAGGCAGCGAATAAATAAGTTTCGAATTGCATTCTTCCGCGCAGTTATTTCCAACGTCCATTGGCCGAAACTTGGCCAAGAGCACCGAACGCGACGGATGCCCGCAGGCTCGAGAGACTTTAATAAATCTTAATCGATTTTCCGGGGAGGGGGAGGGAAGCTCTACCGCCCCCGCGTCCAGCGGTTCGGGGTGGGGGGGAGGGACGGAGGGAGGAAGGAAGATCATGAAGAACGAGATGAGGAGAGGAGATATGAAGAAAGTTAAAATTATAACAGTCCGCGCGCGGGTAAAGTGACCCGAGTGCTTAAAAAAGCTATTTAAAGTTCTAGTCTGTCGTGTTCGGGCGATCAAATTGCCGATTCATGATGCAACTTTGCGCTCTTCATCCGAAAAAAATGGGCCAGACTCCTTGCAAACTTATTCTTTAGGAGCTTGCAAAGAGTTTTCTGTCTAAGTGTCTAACTCATATTTTTTTACACACCGCAACGTGGCAAAAATCGGTGGACCAACAGTTTCTCTGCCGTGGATTACAGTCCCTTTACCCGTGGCTGTTCACTCATTTATTCGTTGATTAAACAGGATTTCTAATGTTTTTAAGAGCTCTAATTTGAAACCGGTAAAAAGCTAAGATTTTCCTTCATTTTTGCGTGATACCGCATCGCATACATACCCTGAAGTTCGAATATTGACACGTTTGATTTCCGCCTCATTCATAATCGTCACTAATTTGCGGTGGGTGAAAAGCTAAGATTTTCCTTCGTTTTCGCGTGATACTACATCACACACCCACTTCAGAGTTCGAATATCGTTGCACGCTTCATTTCCTCATTTGGAGATGCGAGCATAACAGTGGCGTGGCGTGCTTCGATTTAAATCGATATTTCTCCATTTGAAGCTATAGTAAAGAATCGATTAATAAGGTATTCGCTGCGAACACGCTGTTCATCGCTACTTTTCCATAGGTTTAAATGGCCGATCAATCGATATATCGCAAAGCAGCTATTGTTGCTTTAGTTTTGTCCATAATTTTATAGCTCTTGAAACAAAAAAAATCTTATAATTTAAGGAAAATTCCTGGTCTCTGACGTAAGAAGCCTATATAGTTGCTGGTCGTCGTAATTAATTAAATAACTATTTAATCATGTTCAAAAATTGAGTTTTTAAATATTCTGAAAAAATAATTTTTCAGCAAAGAAAACCATTCAGCATCTAACCGGAAAATGATTTTAACCGCGTCTAAATTATTTTTTTACGATGAAGAACGATTCATAAGTTACAGTTTTGGGAATTGTTACTGTAAGCGATGTGACAGCGAAATGAAATTTGTCCTCAAAAAGTCTAAAAAAATAATGTATCATGTTCAAAACAGGCACGATAGCAATATTGGCATCATCAGCTCTCATGGGGTACGTTTCAAAGTGATAAGTCACAAATTTTACGGTCAGAAATCAGCTAATTTTCGCGAAAGTGCTATATTCCATTCGTAAAGTAATACACACTTACTGTTACAGTGTATGAGAAACGACGCTAATTTTTGCGTGCTAACTTATCAATTGTATCGCGGGTTTTACGGGGAAAAGGCGTACTCCTTTCTTATGTCGAGATTTCCAATTTCTCAAGTTTGTAAAACATTAAAGGATTCCGAAAACATGATTTTCACTGTTCTTTTGGGTTAACATACCGTGGCAGTGATTATTCCTCTCATTACACCCGGTCAAACGCGACAACACGGGGAGAACATGATGAACATCGAGATCATTAAACCCTTCGTAGTGACAGGTTCTAGCGATGTGATCCCTGAACTTGCGTCGCTCCTGTGACAAAAAGACGTAAGCACACTTCGGTAGTAGTCTTGCTGTCCGTATAGCTCCGTTCTTTTTGAGGCTCATGTAAAAATGGAGTTGCGCCGCACAGTGGATCGAGTCAAATAGAGAGGTCGGACACAATTTTTTTTACTAAAACTGCAAATTTTGATGTTTATTTCGTCACAGTTTAGACTTCGACGGGTGCATCTTGAGGACAATTTCACGAGAAAACCAATGGAACCACTTTTAGGACCTCAAAGTCTTGTTATGAACGGAGTTATGAGCGTTTAAAGTTTCCAAATGTTGTCCGACCTCTCCTATTGACTCGACCCGTTGTGCGCCGCTACGCCAGCGGGTGACGACTTTCTTTAATGAGAGGAGTCTGCCGGACCCTGTGTAAGCTGTTTAATTGAGTCACAAGTTTTAATGCTTGAATCATAAGTTGAGGGTGTCACTTTTCATTAGAAGCGCTGGCCTTTCCTTTGCGTTTGAGTTTGACGTGGATAATGCTCGCTTACTGACACGTATACATATGTCAAAGATATACCAGTGGTGCGTACTAGAATATTATGTTATTTCAGCTTTATTTAGAAATCCACGAGAGAACCTTACTGCCGTGCTAAGGAAGAACGCCGTGTAAACATTTGAGAATAGCCAAATTTCCTTCGATAAAACGTTCATTTTTAAGAAAAGTAATTAATATTTTTCTTTGAGTTTTTCAGGAGCTTCAGGTGAAATTGCGAACGAAATAACCCGACAAATTGGAAGAAAAAAATTCATAAGTTTACCAGTATTTCATGTTTTATCAAATGAAATTTGACAACGCCTGAGGGTTTATACTGCGTTTTTCCTTCGGACGGCAGCTATTGTTAGTTGGTCCATCTTTTCCCCCCTTAGTCCATGAGAACCACCCGTTTCAAGTAGAAAGATCGTCTTCTTTGTCTATTGCATTGTCTATCGATGTAAGTAATCAACCCGCAGACCCTTTGGTCCCCAAAAAAGTTAGCTCCCCGCGAGTCAACTCAATCATTCTATTACTTCCATTACTGCGTTCTTCATTCCATTACTTAATCAAGTTTATGTGATACCACTATTTGACCTCGAGTGTGTTGCGGAGTATCATCACTATTTGAAGGCGTTTAGAAAACCGGACAAAAGGAACACACTTAAATACTAATATACTGTATAGTTTGGTGTCTCGGCGAAACATTATTCACTGGAAAAAAAAACCACATTGGATCTAGAGTCCAGACTCTTGAAAACATTGACAAGAAAAAATACTCTTGATTCAATCAGATTTTTGCTTAAATCAAAAGGAAATCCGTTCGAATTAAAAGGCTTGGTTCATCATTTAAGCAAAAATCCGATTTAATCAAGAGTATTTTTTCTTGTCGATGTTTTTAAGAGTCTGGACTCTAGATTCAATGTGTTTTTTTTTTGTCCAGTGATTTTTATAAACAAGCGATGAAAATCAGTTATTCTTCAATTCAGTCGTTATGCAATTTGAGTCGGCCAGGAGTCACAGAAGTTGTATCAAATAAATGCCCTTTCTCTCGTTGGATGCGCGTTCCATTTATCAGTGAAACTATCAATGTTAGTAAATTGAACCGAGAAAATACACTAAGAAATGACCCGGTTACAAGACATTCCGTCAAGGATTTTTTGGTCTTGCACCTGTTTTGTCCAATAGTTTATATTCACGCGTAAAACCAGCAACAGTGACTTGGTCCAAGCGTTAAATTTTAGTCCGTATGTACAGTTATATCAACAGTATCGAAATTCGGAAATTGAGTTTGAAGGAGGCGTTGATTGTGGTAACTCATTTTTTCAACGAAACGTACATTCTTCTTTTGATTCATCTTTTCAAATTGTCATTGGTGGATATTTGGTTTTATTTCTATCCTTACAATTGTCGTTATAATATATACTTTTATTTTTTTTCAAATGAAAATATTACTTCCTTTTAAAGACATTTACATCTTTAAACCGTGTCAAATATTTTTAAAACCTTTTCCGAGCAATTATATCGATATTAATATCAATAAGCTGTGGTTGTGTTGAAAGGAACTGTATAAAAATGAATAAGCATGAAGCACGCAATCTTTGGTTTTGACAATTTGCACATGGATCTTTCAAAGTCGAGGACGTCCAATTTTGAGCGTTTGATTGTACACAACACGTATACACCACTCTGCAGCACAGTAAAAGCACAAAATGTGAAATAAATAATTAAGGTGCTTTGGATATCTTTAAACTTGACTCGGAGCCATCTTAATATTTACAGAACAAACATTATATTTGCCTTGGATACAATTTTTTCCCCGCATCAATATGAATGAGAATAATCCGTGCAGAGCGAGCAAACATTTCCAAATCATGAGTTGAAAAACGCTGACTTCGCGGGATTGAATATTAGACTCTAAGAGAGCGGAGCTAAGAGCTACCAGCGGGATACGCGCACTAGCGCCTACAAACCTAAGTGAATACCTCGCGCATTGCGCAAAGCTTGAAGTATCCTCTTAGGTTTGTGGGCGCCAATGCGCGTGTCGCGCCGGCCGGGCTACCACCACGATTGCAATGCTGCCGTGATAGCGAAGAGAGCCGTAAGTGCAAAAATGAAGTTTTGAGAAAACGGGCTCAGAAGCTTCTGACAAGAACATTTTATTGAAAGAAGCCTCCGTTCTTTGTCAAATTGCCACTAATCGTCCGGAAGACTCCTAGAAATTGTATGGGTGATTAAAAATTGACTGATTTTATTTCCATTACATAAAAAGGGTATTTTTCATTTTCATGCTAGGTTATTGTTAGGCGAGACAGCCGTAAGTGCCATCTTCTGCATGCTTTCGTGGTTGCGTTTGGGACGCGCAACAAACACATTTTCAAGTTAGAAATTGGCAGAAGAGGGCGGCACCTTACTGGAAAGCACTGTTTTCATTGGCTCTCATGCATGGCTGTCTTGAAAAAAAACTATGTCATTTTTTGTGCACTTACGGCTTTCTCATACGTCTTGTTTTCATTAAATTAGGATGAATTTTGCTGTTTTAGCTGTCTCAGTAATTTCATCTAAAAGAATTCAGACGGATTTTGAAGAAAACTCGATTTCGAAAATTTATCACTTACGGCTCTCTTCGCTATCACGGCAGCATTGCAATCGTGGCGGTAGCCCGGCCGGCGCGACACGCGCATTGGCGCCTACAAACCTAAGGAGATACTTCAAGCTTTACGCAATGCGCGTGGTATTCACTTAGGTTTGTAGGCGCTAGTGCGCGTATCCCACTGGTAGCTCCTCGCTCCGCTCTCTTAGAGTGTATTATTCAAACCCGCGAAGCCAGCGTTTTTCAACTCATGATTTGCAGAATGGAGGGTCTCTTGTCTCTGGTAGTTACACTTCGCAAGGTTTACCTTTGTTCACGTTATAAACATCTCAGATCCTTGCTAATTTTTCCCTTTGTGTGTTGATTTTATGTTGGCAGCCAGGAGTCAAGGCGGTCGAGGAACACAGACGGATGCGCAACTACTTGCGGAGGATAGAGCAGGAGGGTGTGCAGAGGGTGAAAATGTTCTTGGTCATCACCGGGGCCTATCTTTTGTTTTGGGGACCCCTTTTTTTTGTCACTCTCGTCGACCATCCGCTTATCGGAACTCCGGCTGGACACGAGGTAGGAGTCAATTTGAATCCCACGGACAATCTAAATATTGCCGTGTTAAGGAAAAACGCCGTATGAACCTTCAGACATTGCCACATTTCCTTCAATAAAACCTTAATTTACTAGGAAAATATTGAATTTTTTCTTCAAATTTTTCAGACGATTTTGTTCGCAATTTCGTATAAAATGTCTGAAAATTTCAAGAAAAATCTCGCATTATCGTTCTCAAAAATACATGTTTTATCCGGGGCAAATTGGCAACTCTCGAATGTTCATACGGTGTTCTTCCCTAGCACGGCAGAATAATACTGCCGAGCTGAGAGAAAACGCCGTATGAACATTCGAATGTTGCCAAATTTCCTTGAGTAAAAATCCATTTTTGCGGAATGTTTTGGGCAGTTTCCTTGAAAAGTCCCAGATATTTCAGATCAAACTGCGAGTAAAAATGTGTAAAAATAGGAGGGCAAATATAAAAAGTTCTCCCTTAAATCCGTGTTTCATTGAAGGGAATTTGGCAATATTTGAAGGCTTATACGGCGTTTTTCCGTAGCACAACAATAATAAGCCTTTGCACAGAAGTCTGACAACTATAGGTCGATTACAGGAATCTGAGAGGCTTCCGTCGAGAATGTCGCGTCATGTCGCGCCGTTGCTTTGTAAGCGAGAAACTTAAAACGCCTTCAAAATTATTTATGAAACCCGACCATCCATAAAGCACGTACAGTTGCATCCACGCGTTGTTATGCTCTTTTCTGCATCGTTCCGTATTTTGAATTCTCCCGCGTTTGGTCATATTGATAGCGATATTGCGCTAGAAGAGATATGTAAGGAGCCTTAATCTGTATAAATGCATCATCTTTCTCAGGTATGATTTTAACGATTTAAAGCATTATTTTAAGATAAATCCTCAGCGGTGCGTAGTGAAAAATTTTTCCACTTAAAGGGTGCCTAACTCTTGACCTTCAAGTAAATTTCTAATACAAGCATATTTGAGGAAAAATTGATTCCAGCTCGCAAGATTGTTTAAATGCTTCTCTTTTTTTACTTACGTCGTTTTGTAAAAGTGATTGCCAGTAACTAGAAAAAGCTATTCACGGACTCGCAAAATTCAAAAGTGCATCAAACGCACCAAAGATATTGTGCGCCTAGAAATATATGAGGACACTCAGCGTGCCATGCAAATTTTACCTATTATAATATCTCTAAATATAAAGTTAGTTAACTTTAGGTTTAACCGCAACTGCTACCTAGACTATGGACTTACGGCAGTGATATTCTCATGATTAAGTCGCATTTAAACCTAAAAATTTCAGATCAACTCAATTCATCCCTTTTGCCGTTTAAATCCAACCGCCTACTTGCGTATTAAATAGCTCCCACTTGGCTTTTTCTGTCCCTATATCACCGCTTCTCTAATGTAAAGGCATAACTGCATTTTAAGATGCACCCTTTCGGCCATATAGCCCCATGCTTTCGAGGGCTCACGTTAAAATGGAGAAACATCCTTACGCGAGAAGAACGAAGATGGGGTCGTGTCCTCAATTGCTCCCTGGATCGCGTCCAATTCCTTCTCCTTGGTATATGGTGAAGATAGACTGTCTGTAATTCCTTTCTTCCGACAAAGGAGTCACCCTCTCAAGGCGATTAGGAAGAGCGGCTCTTTTTGACACATCATCCTTTTCAATAAGGCTATTCACGCCCGCGTGATAAACTGTGAGCTCCCTACGCAAAAGAGTCCACATTCCATGACTTCATTTAGTAGCCACGCCATTCGATAATCAATATTCGATAGTTCTACCCGAAACAAATGGCCCGTTTCAATATCGGCAATTGCGCCGCGTTTTTCAACAGGGGCACAATTTTACGGTGATATATTGCATGATGTTGCCATTAAATCAGTCCGTTTCGTCTCTTTGTGTTCCGCGCATTGAGTCGAAACAAATCGTTTACGGCGAAGTGCGAACCTTTCAAGGGTTGACTTGAGCTGTGTTCCAATGTACAAGCGACTCTTTTGCACTTAATGATTTTAGATTACAAGTGACGCAGTGAATTCACGGAAAAAATTGAATGTTGCACACTATTTAATATATTAAAACAAAGGTGCAACAAGTATAAATGCTGATTTTACAATAAAAGAAATGCTACGTTAACTACATCCACGGTTATAGGAACAAATTGAATGTTGAGTTAGCATTTTTTTTTTTAGAGTAAAATCAGTATTTTATACTTGTCACACATTTTTTTAACAGTATAAATGCTCAATCTCTTTTTTTTTCTTTTCTCTTTTTTTACAGTTTATTTGGTTTCTATTTCAGACATGAGTTTAACGTAGAGATTATTTTTTTATTGTCAGTGGACATCTGGGGGAATTTGGCATATCCTTGCTCCGGCTTTCAAATTTTCAGGGACTAAGCCCGAGTAGAATCTGTTTCTGCAGATCCACTCGTCAGTTCCGTGAAAACTTGTCGTCACTACCGGAATTCGAACCCGGGACTTATTGGTCTAGAGTCAGACGCGCTAACCGCTGGACCAACCTGGCCTGCTACATGTTAAATCAACATTCAGTTTTTTCCGTGCAATGGGCCACTAGACAGTGTGCGAATTTAAGCATTCTGATACATGTTACTTAACCAGAATTTCACGTAAAACACGATTCGCGCAACGAAAATTACTGAAATCAACTCCTAACGAAGATATTAACGTTTCTATTTCACATTGATAACAAGGAATTTGAACTGCCCGCTCACAAAAAACTCAAAGCTCTACGTGAGTCAAATCGCGCACTACAGCGGTTTCAGTAAGCTTCTCATTCGAGCAATGTTCATTTCCCACCATGTATTGTTCAAACCATAAGCGATTTGCTAAAGCTGAGCCAAAGCGTCAAGATTGAGGTTTTCAGATTTTTATATCGCAGAGACTGTCACGATAACGTTTATAGGGCACGATGTGAATCACGCAGAGCATTGAGTTTTCATGAGCGGGTGGTTTGAATTCACGCATCAAGAATTATTGAAAATCTTCGTGAGGAGTTGATGTTGGTAATTTTCGTTGCGCGCATCGTGTTTTACGTGAAATTTTAGTTAAGAAACATGTATCAGAATGTTGTAATTCGTACCATGTCTAGTGGTCCATTTCAGACTTTGACGATGCGTTAATGATAATATTTGATTGTTAGGGAACACGTCTACGATGGTTTCCGTCATGAAATGTGCTCTTCCTCCCTTCACTCTGAGTTCTAGGCACTCTAGCCGTGTTTTGTGTGGACAGGTGACGCTGCACATCGCCTACGTGCACTCGTTCGTGAACCCGACGCTGTTCCTGGTCCTGCATCGCGGGCTCCGGACGGCCCTCCTCGAGCTCTGCTGCGGGTGCTTCTTCCAGGCCGGCGGCTGGCTCCTCGGCCCCGAACCGGAGGACGTCGAGGCCACCGTCCCCCCGCCGCCCCTGCCGCCCCTCCCCCTCCCCCTCGCCACCCCCACCC